AGCCTGCCTTTTGTATTTCAAACGAAATTGTTATCTTGGATTAAAGGCTGTTGTCGAATTATATTGATGTTACCATCATGTCAGTTCACATGGCCGAGCACATTGCGATTTGAAACACCGATTGCCACAAAAATACAAAAGAAACTAGAAAGATAAGATGAAAGTCGAAAGTTTTGCTTAATACGGTTTTATTTGACTCGTTGTCTATCAATCTCGATAACGAAACAAAATCCCAGCTGCAGGCTGGACGTAAAGTGGATAAACTTATTCACTTAATACGTTGTATGAGTTTTATCCGCTGAATATCGCTATTAATCCTTAAGGCAGCTTGCACACTAGCGTTTTTTTCGCGCAACTTGTGTCGCGCAAAAAAATGTTGTAAGTTGCACGAGCGTTTTTTATTTGTACGTGTGACACCCCCTCGTGTAACTTGAACATTTAATTTTTTTTGTTGAGAGAAAAGTAGAACTGGCTTGCTCGAGCTAAGTTGCAACGGARTTTGGTAGTGTGACATGGYATCGTGCAACTTACACATTTTTTTGCGCGACACAAGTTGCACGAAAAAAAACGATAGTATGCAKCGGCCGTTAAGCAATGGGCTCCAGCTTAAAACAGGATCAAATTCTTATCTGGCCCACGATAATACTCTATCTAATATACATAATATTTCATTGTCGCGTTATATTTATAGAACGTATGCCACATAAAAGTGCGGAACAATTATTAACTAACAACATCTAGTTATGACCTCTGAAGCGCTTACGTCACATACCGTATACGCAATGCATTGTAGGACATGTTTGGGACAAAACATGACGGATTTCTTTTGTTTTCTCAAGAAACCAATCTCACAATGCATTGAAAATCAAGTTCATGACGTAAAATCTTCAGAAGTCTATTCAGTGCGGCACAATTTCATCACAATTTCTTTCCTGGCTTTGTGTTCATACCCAACTGAATTCTTCGTGGATTAATAAAGCTTACTAGTTGTTAATTGTTAGGGACTGTTGCACGCTTTTTGGMGTGCACTTTTAACGCCTCTTTCCATGAGATTTTAATATTTTCACAGCTGTCACGCTATGGAACGTTTCTGACTGTCATGTTTCACGTTCTTCAAGACTGTCTTCCATAAAGTCTTCTARAGACAAAGATGCCTCTACGTCATCGAAGACTGGCATCGTAAACGACTGCTGTTTATCGTTGTCTTGCTCAGTTCTAACATCATTTTCTTTCGCAGACTCACGAAGAGAGACATTGGAATGTACATTATTATCCAGCAAAGCGATATCTTCATCGTGCGCCATATCAACTTGATCCCGACGTAGTTCATCTTGTTTCTCTGAGATATCGACTGGATCCCGAAATGCTCCGGTCTCTTTGGAAAGAAAATCGTCTTCAGCTCCACCCCCTTGAGAACCTGATTGTGGGGTTTCTTGTTTACCACCGGTACTCGTTTCCGGTACTCCTTTCAGAAAGGCATCAACTCTATCCGCCATTGTTTCAGTGTTTTCTTGTGGAATTTCTGTCTGTTTTGGATTAGGATCCGATCCTTGTACCGCGATATAACAAGCTTCCTTAAACGGTTCAATATCTTTTTGATGAWAGGTGACGTGACTCGGTRAATTATCAGATTTAGCATGTACAAGATCGGGCTTTGATTCGACAGTATTGTTAGGGACGGGATGGAARCGGCCATTTTTACCATCACKYGGTTCAGASGTGTTGTAATGYTTTRATCTTTCAAATGAGTTTGTTTCCATCTTTTCAGTAGGGTCATCCTCACTAAGCTTACTAAACTCCTCYTTTRAAAGATGACGCGCAGTTAGACTTGCTATCTCGTTCCTGAGTTCTTTCAAGAGTGAAGCAGATCGCTGACTTAGTCGTGAGTCGAAGTTCAAGGACGAGCTCAAGCGGTCTGCGTCAAGVGATGGCGAAGTATGAAGAGTCCGCAGTCGAGGTACTTGGTCAGCAGATGTGGATCTTAACAGTAACTTTTTCTTTTTTCTTCCACTATACATATCAATAGGCAAAAGTGGATGATGAGTYACTGGTGGGTTAAGAATGGGCTGAATAACAACACCAACATGATCAACAACAARCAACACAAAAACAGCAACGATTGCAACAAAAATGACCACAACTACAG